GCGTCTTGCACCCTCCTCTGGTGTTTGTCCGTCGATGGCGGACTGCGGAAAATCTTCGTTGTGCGCCATTGCTTATAAAGAGGAAAAGTTTGGTCAAGAGGTTTTGTTCTAGTCTGATATTCCCACAGACGGCGCCAATTGTACGGGAAAGAAATAAACCTTCTCATATAATCCTGTTGATCAAGTATGCACTCCTCTGTACGACGTCACTTTACTCCCTAAAAATACAAACGTGAGCTAGCCAGCGGGTGTGTGTCGGATACCTCTCCGATGCCTAAGTCAGCAAAATAGACAAATAGACAAAAAGCTCTGTATGTTTAGGAATCAAAGTTGGGTTATCTCTCCATAGGTGATGTTATGAACTTTTATAGGTTTCGCGTGGCACAATCCTAGTAGGACGCTTACTCCTCCATGTAGAGTCCTCCTAGGAATCACATTCCTGAAAGATAATGCTTATCCTTCAACACCCTCCTCACTGCTTGAACCAAGTGAGATGATTTTACCATGGTTGGACTCCAATATGACTGAGGTAAGCATGGCTATGCTGAGCCGCAGAGTAGACCGAACTATAGCTAGTTTGGTTCTTCCTTTCACTGCTCTTACCCCGGTTCCTCCTGCACAAACCCTGGCGTGATTAGACCGAGATAACAAAACATCAAGGTCTTGACCGAGCTAACAAATAGCTTGGCTCTGACCGGGCTATCCATAATATGCCATGACCGGGCTAACTCTGAGTATGGCAACCGGGGCTAATTGCCACGCTTCTTTAGACCGGAATAACTTCAAGACTCTTTTGGACCGGGATAATAATAAGGCATTCTCCGGACCGGGCTAACTCCAAGCTCCGTTTCATCCAGCCCTTCTTACCGTGGCCCAATGAACGGCCCATTACCTAGCTCGGCCTAATTTATATATAAATTACCCTCTCATAAACACTGCCACAATTTTAATTCTTAAAAAGTCCCAATAATATTATATTTTTTCAATTTTTTTTTTCTTATTGTAAGGCCAAAATGTAAAATCGATCAACTAAAAATTGTTGCGCAATACTCGTGCCTCTCTCTCCTCAGTCACCATCTCAACAACAATTCCAACTACACACCAGCACACATGGCCCTCTCGTAGGATTAAATGAAACTTTTGTGGAAAAAGTATAATCTATTGAAAATATTGCTAAAGCTCTATGATTTCCTAACAAGCTGCACCAATTTCTCCATCGCCAAATCAAAATCTTCTTCCCTTTTCTCTCTCATCCTCTCACTCACTTCTTTAACTTTCCTTCGCTCCTCCTTCCCATCTTCTTGATCCACCACTTGTTTTGGTGGAATTGGTCATGTCGAGATTGCTAGTGAAAAAGGGAGATTAAGAACAGGGCAGCTCTGAGGTGAGGTGGCTAAGGCGGTCGTCTCGGGCCCTCAATTTTGAACAAAACTTAGGACCCTCAACCAGGGGAGTGTATCATATCGTGTTATTTTATAATTACTTCAATATTAGCACAATTTATTTATTTTCATGTTGTCATATGGTGTTATTTTGATTTGTGTCCAATTGATGTTTAATGTGAAAACTTTTATTTTTAGTTAAAAATAACTTAGCAAGTGTATGGAGAGATTAAAATTTTTCCCATAAGTTGAATTTTATAAAATTTATTTCTACTAAATAAAATTATTCATAGAATGTTTGATTTTAATTCAATTGCATTTTTCTAATTAAAAAAATTATACCTTATTACTATATATTTTTTACTAGATTGACTATAAAATAGGTAACAAAAAAAATATATATCTTAAATGACAAAACGATATTAGCCTTAATTATTATTTTACATACTTTTTTATTCAGTTACATGAAGTTAAATAGAAGATTAAAAAAATGTCATGGCATCGCTTAGTGAGCATTAAAATATATAACTAATAATTCTTGTTATTAAGTCGTATCATACTTGGATTCATGTTGAAAAATAGTCAACCCTCCACCCCGGGCCTCACTTTGGCTGGCCGGCCGCCGCCTTTGGCTATGGCGGTTGGCTGGTCCAGCTTCCTCTTCTGTTTGTGTGTTGTTTTTTCCATATAATAACTTGATTCCCACAATGTTTTCCCACTTAGATGTGTTTCGGTGCTGCTGGTCCAGCTCCCTTTGGAGCTGTTTGTTTTGTTTTCACCAGGGGGTGCTTGGTATAGGGGTCAATCAGAGTAGATGGTGGTCGGTTTTGGACCAGAATAAAGGTTGATCTAATCTGGGTAGGAGTTTCATTTGGGCGCTCCTGTGCGAGTGGGAGTTTGAGGGATGAATGTTGGTTCAGATCTATGGAGATGCTTCGATCCAGATCTAAGATCTAAGAGTTCAGATCTAGATCCAAATCTTCAATCCAGATCTAAGATTCCATTCGAGCGCTCCTTTTCAAGTGGGTTTTTGAGGGGTATACTTCATCCAGTTGTATCTAGTGGGTGTGTTCGGAGTTTGGTTCGAAACAGAGGTGTCCGACTATGGATTTGGAGTTGGCAGTGGTTCTGTTTCGCCATCGGGTGTGTTTGTGTTCGGATGTGTGTCGAAGATGATCCAGGTCGGCGTTGGGTGTGTTCGACCATAGGAGTGGAGAAGTGGAGTTGGCAGCGGGTATTGGCGTGGAAGTGGGTCTCGGCGTTGGGTGTGTTCCGATGCATTGAGTGCTCAGTAGGTGTTCATATGGGAGGCGTGGTTGGTAGCAGCAGGTTGGTTAGCAGGGGAGCTGCCGTGGGTGTGAGAAAGAAGAAGATCTTGGGGTTTGGATCTGCAGTGGGTGTTGGTTCTGCAGTGGGTATGGGTGGCTCGGCTGGCAGTGTGAGTTAAAAGAGGTTGCTAGCATGGAGTTAAAAGATGGTTTCATAGGTTAGAAGGTTGGTGTACCGGGGTAGAGACGGAGCATTATGGAGGATGATGATGGCGGCAGGAGCAAGGTGGTAGGTGAGTCCGCTAAGGGCAACAGCAGAGTGGAAGTAGGGGCTGTTGATGGTGAGTCAGGAGAGGTAGGGGCTGATGATGGTGAGTCAGCAAAGGTGTGGGCTTTGGGTGTGCGGCAGGCGTGAGTTTTGGCTGTGGTGGCGTGCGTGGATCTTGGCAGTGCAGCAGCATGGGAGTGCAGCAACATTGGGAGTTGGTTTGTTTAGTTTGGCTGTTTTAGAGTTGGTGTTTGGGTTCGGGTTGTGTGGGTTGATGTTGTGGGCAGTCTTGTGTTTTGTTTTATAGTTAAGTTCTTCTTAACTTTTTTGTTTAAAAAAGAAAAAAATTCGTGAGGCCAAGGGGTTGATTGTATGGATGCGAGTAGCAGTAGTAGGGGTATTCTGTACTTTTCGAATCTCTCTCGCTGCATGTCATCTGCCTGTACTTTTAATTTCATGCTGTTAATGAAATTTTCTTTGCTGATCAAAAAAGAAAAATGGTCAACCCTAACTTGCTAATTTTATATATTGCTTGAGTTGTGTCGAAAATTCTCATCTTTACCCCCAATTAATTTTAGTTATTATAGCATTGGTAAGCTAAAAAATAAAGATTCGATTCAACTAATTGAAATTCAACTATTATATATATATATATATATATATTTGTTATCTAAATTTTGTTAAATTATAATGCAATAGAAATAAATTTTTATCTTTTTTGTTTTATCTAAACAATTTTTTTTTTTCTTTTTTGGGTAATGATATATGAAGGGCCCAATTTAAAAAATTCGCCTTAAACCCCCTAATAACTTAGGGCTGGCCCTGATTAAGAAAAGTTGTGTGTGTTTGAAAACCACCGAACTAGTAAAAATATTTGTTTGTTTTGCCATTCTATGATGTGATTAACTATATAAAATTTTATAAACACCTTTTGTGTTTAATATATTTTAATATTAAAAATTATTTTTTATAAATAAATATATATATATATATATTTATTGTACTATTATATTTTAATATTAATTTTTTTATAATAAATTATTTTTATATAAAGAATGGTAGGAGGACACAGGGAATGGTAGAAGAATAAAAAAAAAAGAAAGGAATAGTGAGTGGAATAAGTAAATTAGGTAAGAGGAGAAACAAGAGGGCAGAATAGTTTTTTTCAAGTTAATCCCAACAGATCTAATCTCAATACATCATCTATGAATACACCTTATCTCAATGCCCTAAACACCTTATTCTAATCCCCTCTATTCAGGGGATTTGTAGTCCATTGAGACTAGTTGCAACCAATAAAATAGTAGTACTAGTCCCAATCTCATGCCTTATCTATGAAGGCAAACATGGCCTTAAGGTTATAACGATATGCATTTTTTGTTAAACAAATTTATCCTCTTAAGTACTAACAAGTCCCTGGGCAATCAGACTGGGGAAAAAATTGACTGGACATTATAGTTATATTTGATATTTGGTCAACACACTCTGGAACCGTTGAGATATTGCCCAAGAGTACACTCCTTGGACTGTTGAGATATTGCCCAAGAGTACCAAAATCTTTTAACCTAAACTACAAAATGCATGCATCAATTAAGCTATTAATCATATTTATTTTTATTGATATCACTTCGTAGAACTATCAATTTAATTTTATTATTATTATTATTAATTTTTTTTTTCAGGAAGTCATAATTTTTCACAAAATTTGTATTTTGTCCTACTAACACATCATTTTAATCCTACGAATATAGTGTTAATCTATTATATTATGTAGAACACATAAAATGTTTGATATGAACACTGCCACACAATTTTGATTCTTAAAAAGTCCCAACAATATTATATTTTTTTAAAAATATTTTTTTCTTACTTCGCTTTTATTGTAAGGGTAAAATTGTAAAATCAATCAATTACAAATTGTTGCACAATAGTCTGTCTCTCCTCACTCACCATCTCAACAACAATTACCACTACACACCACCATCTCAACAACAATTACCACTACACACCAGCACACATTGTCCTCTATTAAATGAAACTTTTGTGAAAAATGTATAATTTATTGAAAATTTTGCCAAAGCTCTATGATTTCCTAACAAGCTGCACCAATTTCTCAATCACCAAATCAATCTCTTCCTCACTTTTCTCTCTCATCCTCTCACTTAATTCTTTAACTTTCCTTGTCACCTCCTTTCCATCTTCTTGATCCACAACTTGTTTGATCACTCTTGCCACTTCCTCTCTCTTAAACCTTTCATTCTCATTCTCTTTCTTGACCTCCTTGCCCACACCAATCTCCACCACCAACTTGGCATTGAAGGGCTGATCAAGGCGCATAGGCATGGCTATGATTGGGACACCAAACATCACACCCTCTAAGGTTGAACCCCAACCACAGTGGCTCACAAACCCACCAATGCTTGAATGGCCTAAAATCTTTGCCTGTGGGGCCGACTCCTCTACCACCATACCCATATCTCCAATCCTCTCCAAAAACCCTTCTGGTAAGACCTCATGAAGAACCCTAGTTTTCTCTGCTCTATGAACCCATATGATACTCACTTTGCTTAGCTGTGACCTATGAGCTATCTCTTCAATCTGTTGTTTGGAAAGAAAACACTCACTTCCAACGGAAACAAATACAACTGAACTAACCTCTTTCTTGTCCAACCACTCCATAATCACTTCATCATCATCATTTTTGGCTGGGATCTGACTAGGAGGCCCAACTGGAACAACCTCTTCCCCTACTAAACCACAAAGATAATCAACATACTTGGCCTCGATCACGTTCGAGGCCTTGATCAACACGAAACTCCAAGACCTTGCGATGCATCCTAGGAACCTTTCCTTGGCAGCTTATCTTTTAATAGTGCAAAGAATTAGAATATAAACATATTCAAATATAATATTTCAATCTACTCGATCAATATCAGTGTAAAAAATTTCAAATTGCAATCCAAAATTACAATTGAGTGGCCTATTTTAGGAGTAAGTTAAAAGTAGACTTTTTAATTTTTTTTTTTTGAAAAAATAGATAAAAAATAAAGAGGTGATGTGATTCAAAAAATAACAAAAATAATAAATTGACTTTTAGGGGTCGTTTGACATTGGTTAATATAGTCAACTTTTTTAGCCTCGTTTGATTTTTGTTTTGGGACTTTTTTTGACTTTTGTGAGAGAAAAAATGTAATAATTATGGATAAAAAGTGATATTTTGTCTTATTGACTTATATAGCTTATTTTATCTTTTTGTGCTTTTTTAGTCCCAAAATCTTGGCCAAACGAGCAGTTAGGAGTGATTTGGGATTATTTAAATAAGTATACTTTTTGACTTGACTTAGATAAGATGATGTGACTTAAATAGTAATTTGGGATTATCTAAATAAATATACTTTTTGACTTGACTTAGATAAGATGATATGATTTAAATAAAATAATGACTTTTTGATTTTTTAAATTTTTTAAGTTACGAGAAACAAATTTTAATCTTCTCCAAAATAGGTGTTGGTTTTTCGTACAATCTAATCGTGGGCTAAACCTGGTGGGCTTTTTTGTCAGGCGATCTAGCAACAAACCCAAATCTGTTGTTCACTCTGCAATTGAGCTCTCTGGAATTGGAGAGAGAGAGAGAGAGATAGAAGGTGAGAGTGAAATGCAAGAGGGAGTGCTGGTAAACCCTAGCAGCAATGGAAGAGGAAAGCACCCAAAAGTGGTGGTAATAATGGGGGCAACAGGTTCAGGCAAATCTCGACTCGCCATTGATCTCGCACTCCACTTCCCCCTCGAAATCATCAACGCTGACTCTATGCAGGTCTATATCTCTCTCTCTCTCTCCATATATATGTGTGTGTTTGTGTTCTTGGTGGTGGTAACATTGGATTTAATGTCCTTGTTTGCTTTCAAATTTTGTGCGCAAGTGATAATTCTATTTGTTTCACTATTATTAGGTTTACCAAGGATTAGATGTTCTCACCAATAAAGTTCCCCTTCAAGACCAGAAAGGTTTCTACTTTCTCAATTTCTCTGTATATCTATCTATCTATACTATTATATATGTCAGCACTGGACTGGGTGTGTTTGTTACTTCTCCATCTGCCGCGTAGCAAATTTTTGTATCTGAAAATTAAAAGATTATTATTTGAAGGCGTGAGTACGGTTTGACCTCAAATCCTTCTGTTTCATTAAGAATAATCTTACCACTTGGACAAGATACATGTTATGATACTAATTTCTTTATTATTTGTTTTTATTCTCATCAAAATTGTATACACACTGCATGTGCCACCCGCTAGTGTGTGTATATAAATATGTATGTTTATGTCTTGCCTGAAAAGCTCTCTGATCTTTAATTATAAGTTTGGTTTTATGGCAGGAGTGCCACATCATCTGTTGGGGACAATTAGTCCTAACGTGGAATTCACAGCGAAGGATTTTCGTGATTCTGTCATTCCCGTGAGTCCCTTTCTCTCTCACATACATATTGCAAGCTAGTTTCAGTGGGATAAGCTTTGGGTTTTTGAAGATTTGGATTTTCATGCTACTTGTGTATGTACATGTATAAGCTTCTTTATATGTTACTGAAAAAGAAAGCATTCTGTGCTTGTAGCAACATTGGTGACCATATGATACGTGTCATCTATCTTTACAATATAGCCAACCCTAGTGAATTTTGGAGGAAAGTAAACCGGAAGGAATTGGGTGACATGGATGCACAGGCATGACGTTTATCTAAAAAGTAGGACACTGCATGTTGGGACACACCCTATTGAATCATAAAGACCACCGACATTAGGCCAATTTAATTAGGGTTAAAAAAAAAATACACAAAAGATATCAAAACAACAAAGTCACTTAAGAAAATTTCAAAAATTAAGCATTAATGACATTTTTCATTTAATCATCATTCAAAATTCTATAATTCAACCAATTGACGACATTGTAATCGAAAGATTGTCTATCCATTACTTTGTCAACAACAACACCAAATATTTGTATAGATAAACCCCAAAAAAAGGAAAAAAGAGAGATGATTATTGTTCTAAAAAAACAATACACACACTAAATTGTCCATCCATTAAAATGACAAGGCTTCGCTTCAACACTTAAATTGCATATTGTATAATATTCTTGGATGAGATGTAAATTATTTGAAATTGTACTTCAAATTAACGGGGATGTAACAAAAATATTAAATTCATGCCTTCCATTCGTGTGAGAAACTAGAAATATTCCTTTATTAGCTAAGGTGAGTATAATCATCTTCAAGTATCATATAAAATTAGATGATTCAAGTGTATATAGTGAGTACGAGTGTCAGACACATATCTCACACTCTTATCCTTGTCATATCCGGCGGACACGGATACATTGAAATGAAAATGAACTTTAATTGAAAAATAAATGAACACCAAAATGAATAGGAGTAGGATCTTCCCCCGCCCATCGCTTTTAAATCTTCTAACTTATTGTTGATTGCTTCATAATTGATGCTTTCAAACTTGTTTGATCTTTTGTTTTTGATTGAGTATAATCTAAATGCAACAAAGAAATATTGTGTTAGTAAGTGGTTCTCTCTCTCTCTCTCTCTCTCTCTCTCTCACCAAAGTGAAAGATCTCTTGACTCGTAATTTGCTTTTTCAGCTTATTGATGACATACTGTCCCGCAATCGTTTACCTGTCATTGTTGGAGGTACAAATTATTATATCCAGGTATGCTGCTGCTGCTGCTGCTCTATTTATTTTAATTTTTTTATTAGTTATTGGCTCTATTATCAGGATCTTCCGATTCCGATTTGATTCATGTTTCGATTCGCAATTTTTGCAAAATTGATACGAATAGTGAATCGCACGATTCATAATCGATTTACGATTCGATTCACTTTTTATGATTCATGCAATTTTTGAAACTATCATGTGCGACATATTTTCAACCTTTTTTTTCTCCATATTTGTAGTGAAAATGACATAATACAACTTTTAATAGCATTTTAGTACCAAAATAACTAATACATATAAATAATTTGTTGTCATTTTAGTGATCATTGAGTTTTTAATAAGATTTAATCAGATTCAGTTAGACCCAATATGTTTTTAACCTTTATTCTCATTTTTTTTCCTTAAAAAACCATAATATATCTGCTTTAAGATTAAAGTAACTTACACTATGAATTATCTATTGCTATTTTATTAAATTAAATATAGTTGAATATTACATGAGTGAGGCCAGTTATACTTTTTAAAATGTTATGGGCTTTTAAAATAAAAGATCCTAAATAATTCTATTATTTGGTCATTGTTACTTGGAAAAGTATGTATGCTTATTGTTTATATATCAATATTGTTGTTAAATTATTGTTATTTTAGAAATTGAGAATTTATTTTTGTTTACTATCTTTATTAAGAATGATTGATAAGAAATATCAAAAAAAGGAAAAAGGTGAGATGGTTATTTTACATAGGAATCTTTGTTAACTTCTTACCTATTAAACTATGTGACCATCATTAAAAGCAATATTTTCATTGATTTAAGTTTAAATATTTCATATTTATAAGATATATTTAACGTCCAATGGTGTAAATATATTTTTTCTAAGTAGTAATATAAAAAAAGTGACTAAATCTTTATGATTCACGATTTATTTGGATTCGCGATTCGGTACGAAACCATTTTGATTCACTAATTGAATCTCGATTTGACAACTATATTTATTGTTGATTTTATGGGCAAAAGGATCAAATTTGTAAACTTTGTATTTAGGAAGAGACTGAAAACTTTGTATATATATTGTGGGGTGCTGATGACAAGCATGTTATTGGACCAATGACTTTGAAGATTCCAGTAATGGTCCCATAGGACAATTGCATGTATGATCTACAATTGTTCTTTTAATGAGGATATTAGGTCTAAACTATCTTTTATTTTAGTCTTGGCATGGAAAGTTTGTATTAAAGAATAACTCCAATACCCTCTTGTAGTTTTACCATATTCTCTTGTACTTGATACTGCACCACTGTGTCTTTACAGAAGTTTGGTCGCCACAATTCTTGGTCTATTTGTAAATTAGTATTTTCTGTAATTTACATAATTTTCACATGAAGCAAATTGTCTCTGTTGACTTGTTTATGTTGATAGTTCCACATTAAGGTTAGACCATCACATTTTCTTTGTTAAAGTATAGGCATCTGTGGATGAACTTGTACTTGGTATTGCCAATTATGAAGTCACTTCTGTGGTAGAGTTAGTCAGTTGTTTATATTTTTTTTCTTTTCCTTTTTCACAAAAACTTATCAGTTGCTGTTTTCATTTGTATAGATGTGAATTTCCTTATTTTATTTTGTTTGCCCTGTTCAGGCTCTTGTGAGTCCATTCCTTCTGGATGATTCTGTTGAAGATAAGGATGAAAATGGTTTAAGCGACCTTCATGGTAAAAAGCAAGTCTGGTGGTTCAAAGTTTATACACACATATAAAATGTAATGCCATGCAAGATACATGATATCTAATTGCTATTTGTAGGAGATAAATCAGATTCTGAATTTGAACCTGGGAGAGAGAATTTCTGTTATAGTTATGATAGTCTTAAAGACCTCGATCCAGTTGCAGCTAATAGAATTCATCCCAATGATCATAGAAAGGTATGGGTATCCCCTAATTACTTACCAGCTCTGGTTTAAGCATATATGCAGGGTGTACTTAAAACTGTCAAATTTGTTATTAAGTTATTTTGGTTGCACCATGATGGCTACCATGGAACTCTTTTATCTGAATGTAGAATGTATAATGTATAATGTAGGGAAGAGACACCAAAAACTATCCATGATCCTGCTCCTTGGAGGACCAATGATGGGAAATTGTTTACAATAGAAAATTATGGTACTTCTTGCTGGAACATTTACTGTATTTCCTCTATGACTTTTTGTACCAAATATAAGATGGGGCCTAGGGTAGGGCTTATGAGTTGAGAAACGTGGTTTGGTCAAGATGCTCAGACCTTGTTATTTTTTGCCTGGGGTAGGCCCATAGGGCGTGCATCATATAATCCACATTACAAATTCAGTCTTTCTAGGCTATAATTAACAAATATTAACATTATTGGAGTAACCATTATGAGGAAGTTGCAAAGGAGAGGCAGACCCTTTAAATATAAGAATGAATTGAAATGCAATAGGGTCTCAGCAGCATTGGTAAGCTGATCATCTCAAATATCCAGAGGTTAGTGATAGTAAATGGTGAGACTGAGGGTTAAAGGGAGACTAGCCTTTGTCAGCAGGTCCACACAGTAGTTACATATCTTCAATTCTGTAATTGAATTACCCATAATCAATTTTTACAGGTTCAATATTTCAATTAGGGTGATGTATGCCACCCCTTCTTTCATCATCGGTGTTCTATTTTATCAACAATATTTCTAAACTCTCTCAGCTGTGCAAGGGCAAACCCATGAAAAAAGGTCCACAATTTCGTAAGATAGTTATGGAAAATTGCTAATATGATATTTGAACCGAGCAAACCAAGCTTCATCAGCTCTATAAGAATCTTGAAAATAAGGATTTAAAATTTTTGCTCTGGCTTTTTACTTTTTTGTCTTGCAATTGGTGGTTGTGATGTTCAATTTGACAGAAATAGTGCTTACATGTTAAAATTGCACTCATTATATGTGAGATTTTTTTTTGTTGATAAAAAACTCATTATATGTGAGATTATGAACTTTCCCTGATTCATTACATTGGTGTCAGACATGCACCCGGGAGCTTTCTCTCTTGCACTATTCAAAATATCTCAAAATCTTATATGCTCCTCTGATAAGAATGCTCATGCCTTACTATGTATATTTGGAAAGTTGCATTTTCTAATGGCATATCCTGTATGGTGTTTTCTGCATAACCCCATTATATGGTTGAAACCTTTGCAGATCAATCAATATCTAAGTTTGTATGCTCGTTTTGGTGTTCTTCCCAGCAAACTTCTTCAAGAAAAAGCTATGGAGGTTTGTATTGGTAATTGAGTTGTCTATGTGATTATAATTGTGTATTGTTAGAATTAGGCACCCTGGTTTCTTTGGAAATACTAGTTTTGTCTGGGATACATTGTGAAATTTGATGATGGAGAACCCGGATTTTCCATTTCTACATTTTCTCCTTTTCTTTTAAATTTGAAACTCTTTGGTCATGGATTGTGGGATAAGATCTACATACTGAAAGTATTTTTCTGGGTGGATAAACTGAAAGTATTGAATGCACAAAATTAATATATAAGCTGCTCATAGGTATAAATATTAGGTTTTGATTATCTTAAAAACAAAAAGGAAAAAAAGGTTTTTTGTATCACTTTATTACTGATGCTATTATGTTTGTTTTCTATTGTAATTGAAAGAAACAAACAGAATTTTTTTTTTTGGTTGAGATCATCAGATCAGATTGAGCTGATCACATGCTTGGAATAATTTTCTAATCTTGCATGTGGCAAGGCAGAACTGGGGTCAAGCTGATAATTTCAGATATCATTGCTGTTTTATATGTGTGGATGCGTCTCTCCCAGTACTGGACAAATACGTGGAGCAGAGGGTAGATCGCATGGTTGATGCTGGTTTGCTTAACGAAGTTTATGATATTTACAACTTGAATGCGGATTATACTCGAGGTTTACGGCAGGCTATTGGTGTTCGGGAATTTGAGGATTTTCTGAAGGCTTACCTTTTTCAAGTTCAGAATGACAATGAAAACCATTTGGTTGATGCCTCCCACTTCCAAATGTCAGCAAAAAAGGGTGATCAGATGTTGAAAGAAAATATGATGACAATCCTGAATTCCTCGAATGAGAAGGAGCGAAATCTTCTCCTGGAAGATGCTATTGACAAAGTAAAATCAAACACCCGAAGACTTGTTCGTCGTCAAGTAAGTATGTTGACCTCTGTTATCAGAATCTTACGATTCGCGATTCGATTCACGATTCGATACGCAATTTTTGCAAAATCGATACGAATCTATGAGTGAATCTATTTTGGAAGTGAATCTCTAGTGAATCGCACGATTCACAATCGATTCACGATTCAATTCACGATTCGATTCACTTTTTACGATTCATGCAATTTTTGAAATTATTGTGTTCGACATATTTTCGACTCATTTTTTTCATCTTTTTAGTGAAAATGACATAATACAACTTCTAACAGTATTTAATACCAAAATAACCAACATATATATATGATTTGTTATTATTTTGGTGATCATGGAGTTTTTTATAGGATCCAATCAGATTTAGTCAGACCTAACATATTTTTAACCTTTCTTCTCATTTTTGTCCCCTTCAAAAAATTGTAATATATCTTCTAAAGATGTTTAAGATTAGAGTTACACTATGAATTATCTATTACTATTTTATTAAATTGAATACTACATATGTGAGGTCAGTTATACCTGTTAAAATGTTTTAGGCTTTAAAATAAAATATTCTAAATAATTCTTTCTTATTATTTGCTCACTTTTACTTAGAAAAGTATATATGCTTATTATCCAAATATCAACATCGTTGTTAACTATTGTTACTTTAGAAATTAATAGTTTCTATTTGGTTATTACCTTTATTAAGAATGGTTGATAAAAAAATCTAAAAAAAAAAAAAAAGGTAAGATGGTGATTTTACATAGGAACCTTTGTTAACTTTTTATCTATTAAATTACGTGATTATCATTCAAAATAACATTTTTGTTGATTTAAGTCTAAATATTTTATATTCATAAGATACATTTAACATCTAAATGTGTAGATATATGTTTTTAAGTGATTTAGAAAAAGTGATCGAATCTTTACGATTCACGATTCGATTCGATTCGCGATTCGGTACGAGACCATTTCGATTCACGATACGAATCCCGATTTGACAACTATGATGTTGACCTCATCTAGGGTTTGTGTGATCCTCGAATTTGATTGGCAACATTCGCCTTTTATGTGGTATTTTGAATTAGAAATTTAGGTGGAGGGCTTAAAAACAACACCCAATTAGTAGTACACATGAATGTGTTTGAGAGGGGAAAGATTAAGTACACACCTAACCTTTGGCATAATGTGCAAAGTGCTGGTCTCAAGACTTGAACCCATAACCTCAAGGTTATTAGGCCAAGTCTTACACTTTCATGTCAGAGCAGCCCAAAAGTGATTACAAGTTATATGGTAATTTATTTTTATTTTAAAAAAGAAGAAACATGGTAAATTCCTTTACCATGATGGACTTTTATGTAGAAGTGTTGTGTGAACTGTAAATGGGGCATTCTGATCTGAGGGACACAAAAAAGATTTCTGTTTTGCCTAGTGATAAAGTTGGTGACAAGCATTGCTAATTTCTTGTACCAAATTTTGTGTATCTTTTTGATTGCCTCTTTCTGTCATGATGCATGTCATATCATATTTCATCGTGTTCTTTAAGTTGATACTGCTAGTTGTCATGAATAATATGAATAAGTCCCTTGGTGTTCATGAAACTTCCAAATCCTCTTGTAAATTTGCAATTCCTATGTTGATTGATACGCTATACCTACTATTCCTCCTCTGTTATAAATCCTTGAATTTTACAAAATTGTTTCTGGAATCTTGCTGAGTTTTTCATATATAAATGCCTCGCTATTTGTTGAAACATTTTGTCAAACCTCTCCAAGACTTGAGTTATCCTTGGCACCACTTAAGTCCCTGTTTCTCTATTAACTAAATTTATACAATGGGCTTTGTGACAACAGTTTGGCTGCGTATGCTGTGAAAATTTTACTAGTAATAACTTCTGTTTTTTCACAGAAGAGGAGACTTAACCGACTTAACACGCTGTTTGGTTGGAACATACATTATGTTGATGCAACTGAATCCTTACAATGTATGTGTCTTTAGCTGTACTAAATTTTTTCTAATCAGTTTGTTCGTTGTTGCCTGAGATAATAATCTCTCCAGATATTGGTCTAAAGTAGAATGAGCATTTCATATTTTAGGTGCCTCTGATGATTCATGGGCAGCACATGTGGTTGAACCCTCTGCCAAAATAATCAGGTCATATCTTAGCAAGGATGAAAGCTTAGTGCCTGATTCAGAGTCCAGGACTGGTACCGAAGGATTGAAATTGTTTCAAAGGGACTTGTGGACTCAACATGTATGCAAGGTTAGCAATAAATTGTAAGACATTATGCATTCATTTTGTTTTAATGCTTGTGGGCTCTGATGTGAAGTGTGTGTGTGTAAGGACGCTGTTAGTTGAATTATTGTTTTTTTCCCCTTTTTCTGGTAGGCTTGTGGCAATCGAGTGCTTAGAGGGGCGCATGAATGGGAACAACACAAACAAGGTCGTGGCCATCGAAAACGGATATGTCGGCTTAGGAAGTCTGGAGGTTTTTCCTTTGTGGAGTAGCTGCAGTTTCAACTTGGCTCTAAGAACTTCTGTTATGTGATATAGTATCAACCAAGCCTATATTTTGCGGTGGAATGTTAATGTTGACATCTGCATAGTGCATTCAATATTTGTTGTGCAGTGAAATTTGTAGGTGTTACTGATATTCAAATTTCCCTATACTTTCATACCCTTTGCCTTCTCTTTCTTCTTTCTTTATCCTGTTATTTTTCCTTCTGGTGTTGATTTCCTGTTTACCATAGGAGATTGGTTTATCATCTGTACAATGTAAAAACTAGTCCCTATTTGGGCAGGCTTCAATTTATATGATGTGATATTTCCTTCCTTTGTTTGATTTTAAAAGTGTCATCTGTCTTAGTTATGTTGCTATTCTTACGCGGTCCTCTCATTTGTATGTTTCATAATCAGAGTTGGGGTTCTTTCAATATCAGTACGTTTTATTTGTTTCAATTGTCAATTACAATCTAAGTGGACACCTACATAGTAATTTCACATAAATGAAGACACAAACACGGTTGGGACACCGTTTTATTTTCTATGTAGATTAATATTATGTCTATAAACAATCAAAATTAATAAAATTTAATAATAAATTAAATAAATAAAAGAATACACTAGATGGTGTGTCGTACGTGTCTCTCTCTAATAATGCGTTTTCATTTGCACGTTTTCTTAATGGAACTTGGGATTATAGCTCAATCCTGCACGTTCAAGACGATACGGTTTGCGACAGGCTCAAATAGTGATTGGGTAACATCCATTGCCTCAGAACTATCAATCTTAATATCTGTGGACTCATAACTACCAATTTTTGCCATATCAATACCAACACTATTAATGCCATAGCTCAATTCCACACCATCCAAAGCACATATTTCTGTTTTGATTCCATATTACTAACAGTAATGCTAGGTATCATGAAAAACCTATCATGAAAATAATCATGAAAGTTTTGTGATCCTTGGATTACATTTAGAATAAAGCACCACACACTAATCAAGGTAATTCAAGAATCATAAATCTTTCATGATCATTTTCATGAAAAAACTTTCATGATCTCTAACTTTTCTCTATTACTAACTTCCAATATAAATGTCAAAAAGCTATCTTGCATGTTGCTATTCGTTGCCTCAGACTCAAAAGTTACCGCTTTGTGTGTCGGCTTCCTCCAGCGTCTTCTTCATTTCATCTGAATCATGTTCATTTCATCTGAATCAAGCCATGATGGTTCGCCAAGAGAAGAGTTAACCAATTCAATGGCTTAGGGATCCAATTGTTGAATCATATCCTCCCATTGAGTTGTCGATTTAATAAAATATGCCTCATTCTTCTCCGATGAAGACACATGTTCTTCCACTCGGTATCCCATTACTTGTTGCTTCTGTGAATAATAAAAGTTGGAAGTTCTTTTAATAGTTTAATCAATTACTGTTTATTATGTTAGACACATCTGCATTATAATAGCATTACGTTTGAATTACGAGGCTCAAAAGGTGTTTTTAAGGATTGCACTGGATTGCACAAACTTTTATTTCCTCTTTTACATATATTTAGGCTATGTTTGAATTTTTGCGCTCAAGCACACGCATACGCATACGCAAACGCAAAAGGCCGTGACATTGTTTAAATGTGTTTGTTGCTTGCAACAATTGTTTCAAATTCAAACTTTTCCCAATATGACTACACTAGCAGCTTAGTGTCACGTACACCAAACACCTTGCAAGCGCATTAGTTTGTGAGCAGCAAGGCAGGTAGGGTAGATCCCTATCGCATCTCCTGGGTTGGTCCTTGGGCATAATGCACGGGGTATGCGGTACCACTCGTGGAGCCGGCTTCTCGGGAGGATGACAAGCGCCCAGTCCGTGACATTAGGCTTAGGCTTTGTTTTGATCATATAAATTTTTGGACAGAAAAGAAAAGAAAAGGAAATAGATGAGAAGAAAATGCAATGAAAGAAGTTGAATTTGTTTATTTCATTTCCCTTTTAGTTTATTTTATTTTTTCCTATAAATTTAAGATTCAAACATAGCATTAATATTCTATCCTTACACACATCCTTACTGAATGATTTATTTTTGTGGGCATGGCCCTTTAACTTTTTGCTTTCAATTTTAAAATGATACTCCAATTTGGAGCATCCAATCTTTTATTTTAATATTTGAGACAAATCATCCTATATCATATATGGTTTAATCATGTTGTAATTGAGCTAATGGATATTTTAAACGAGCTTTGGCCAAGAAAAGATAAAAAAAAATAGAGTATACCCTAGGGAAGAAAATATTATTATTTAGTTGTATATTTAAATCACTAATATTTTGGATCCTACACTTTATATTTAGTGTTTTGTAGATAGATACTGTTTTAAGCAAATCAAAATTCTTACACCTGATTTATGTTTGTTATGTTCCTATCAGAGTAGAAAACAAAGTCATGTTCTCACCATGAAAAAGAGAAGGTGGTGTGAAGCCCCACAATTATAGAAATGCAAAAGTGGGACATTTTCGTTGCAAGTTGATTCAAATGTTATTATATGTTTGAAACATGCTGCTTGTTCTGTCAATAGGAAGTTCGATACACAAAGAAGAAGACAAGGGGTTGGTTGTTGTAGAACAATCGAAGTAGAGAAAACGTTTGATGGCTTCATAAAAGAAGTGACTGATCAATGGGGGTGTTCGTTATAGATTAAATGATAGATTATTTAGTAAAACTTATATTTATAATTTATTAGGTAAAAATAACTTAAATAAATTTTAAAAAATTGATTATTTGGAAATTGAGTAAGGGATACTTTTAGTTTTTTATTTTCTAATTATCTACTTTTTAATTGACAATAAGTTGTACTAACTAGGACCAATGTCCAACTTCTAACTATTGATTTGGAGTTATAATATTCACATTAGTATCTTATACTTATTTTGTGACAACTTAATCGACAAAACAAGAAGGGCGTAAAACATGTTTAGAATGTAATGTGAATATCATTGTTTTTGATTTATTTGATGTCCTTCTCCCAATAAGAAAGAGAAAAAAGATAAGCTAAGGGTTGTTGGGATGACAAATGAGTCTTTTTGATTTTTAATTGAGAGATATAGTCAAGATGTTTTCCTAAAAAATTTGGGTTTAGCATGACTAGTATGCAATTTCTCTTTCATTGGCTTACTATTGCCAAGGCAATAAAAGGCTTTTTCCAGAGCAAGGTATTGCTAATTATTGGGGGCGTTTTGGTGTGGCTTATTTTGACCAACTTATAGATTCTAACTTTCGAAAAATTATTTTGGACTATTTATTTAAATTTATTTCAAATAGTTTTTTATTGTAGTTACTTATTTTAACTAAAAAAAGAAAAATAATTTTGAGAACTTATCCACCCCTCTATTTCTGATTATCAGCTTTTACTGTAGACATATTAATTTACGATTATAACCTTAGATTTTTTATTTTTATTTTTATTTTTTTGAAAATAAAAAAAGACCCAAATGGACTATGGATTATTATAATATATATTTTTTATTTATTTATGGAAATATGGACTAGTAGTGAATAACAAAATTCAAAAAGTTATTTCATAACTTATTTACCAAATACTACTTAACAACTTAAATCTATAATCTAACAATTTAACAACTTCTGATTAATGCTAATTTATAATTCGTTAAATTATAATCTATACTATGCCTTAATAGCTGTATCAAACACCCCCATTGCATGCACAACCATATCTTTCTTTGGCAAAACCTCTAGTTTTGCTTCCATAAGTCATGTTTGATAAAACTAGGATTAGCTTTTCTCTAGTTCATTTTGTAGAATGGACCGTACTGTTGGGCCTATGAGGTTCACCACAGGTTCCGTTTTGATAATCGGAGCCGTTGAATGTGTAGAACTCGTCGAATATTTTATCTCTGCAAATCACTTTGATCGGATATCGATAGCCCCTTAATTGAATCACATTTTTGTCAATGGTAAATATGATTTTAAAAATAAATTATTAACAAAAATATGTTCCGATCAAGGGGCTATTGATATCCAATTAACGTGATTTTTTGCACGGATGAAGTACTCAAAGAGCTCTATACATTGAACGGTTCGGATCATTGAAACAAGAGTATAATGTGTTCCACGAGTCTAATAATACAGTCCAGTTCACAAAGTGAATTGGAAAGAAACCCATTTCGACAAAACTAATTTGGAGATTTTTTGGGTGAATATTTATTTGGAAGTTATTTAGCTTAAAATTTGAAATTCCACATTTAAATAGATGTACTTTATATAGTTATGACATTTGGTAATAAGTATCAATTTATTTATTCATTTTTAAAATTAGAAAACTCAAAGTTAGATGAGGCTCATTTGGTTTGTATATTTGAGCTGATTAAATAAAAATGAATTGATTTTGAATTTATATTTAGAAACTAATTAAATTAGATGAGTTTAGAAGTGTTAGGACTTATATTAATATGGATTGGTTTCAAGGTGAACCTGGACCTAACCGATTCTTTTGGTTTTGAAAAAAATAGAATTAAAATTGGAATTGAAGCGTTGAAGATTTGTAACCGAATTAAAACAAATCATAGAACTTCAAGGGAGAGTGAGGAATAGAATTTCAAGTCTCAAGCTGTGGTCACTATGCTAATCTCAATGGTTGGTCACTATGCTAATCCCAATGGTTGATGCAGCACTAAATTGCTATTTCGAAAAATTATATCATGGTCTAGGGGCATTGCGTGGCTTTATTCTTGATTAATCACAATTCACCATGTTTTTCTATATTTTCTAATTACTCAACATAAAATCATAAATTTTACCATCTCCATCAATCACAACTCACCTAAAACATTACATGACTGTATTCCACGACCATCAAATAACTTTTCGACTATTTCCTCTACTCTTTTTTCTCTCCTCAAGGAACTTTTCAATATGCATTTGTGAGCATGAAATTTGGTGTCTTGAATTTAAAATTTGAGATCAACGTATAAATTTTGAACAACAATGATTTACAAGTCTAATTTTATGCCATGGTTTCCATATTGCCAAAAACACTGTTTGGACTTTGGATTTATGAAGGAAAAGGCAAATAAAAGGAAAAAATAACCCCCCCCCCGACCCCCCCCAAAAAAAAAAATTATTTTGACAAATAATTATTTATTTTATTATTTTTCTAACCCAAACAAAAACTAAAAAAAGATAATTTTGATTTCCATCACTTCATTTTCTTTTTATTTCTTTTTTTCATATCTATATTCCCTCTTTCAACCTCTTCATCAATTTTCTGTTGTTCTAATCACTATAAAAAAAAAAAAAAATATTCATCTTTAAAACGAAGGTGTTGGTGGTGATATTGGGTGATAGGTTTAAGTTTGAGAGAGAAGTAAACAAATAAATAAAAAATGAAAATGTGGTGATGATTGTGAAAGATGGTGGGAATCTATTCGTATCTCATTTGGATACGTGTATACCATTTAGATATATGAATTGGAAATTTGTTGCATTTGAGAATTTATTAGATGGTTCATCTTTATGATTAGTGGATGTATGAATTAATTATTGATTTATGTAATTAAACATTTATTCTTCTACTTATTTATGCTTTTGTCACTTGTTAACACTACATATATTTTATAACTAAGAAAACAAGAGAGAGAAATAGATAGTATAGAGAAAGTGTAAGATATATTTGTATTTTTTTTTTTTTTTGAATTAGTAAAACGATCAGTTTTGTCTGTGAAATACAGCAAGTTGAAGGAATCATGTAAATTTGTCTTTTTCAACTGTCATTGTTTTGTATTTCATGAAATAAAAATGAAAAATGAAGAAAGTGGGGGGAGGGGTTATCCAAGTTGGTGGTGGGCGTTGATTTTAGTTGACGAACGACTTTTTATTTTATTTTATTTTTCAAAAATGTGATTTTTAAAACATGATTATTGTAATAAAATTGTTTTTTAAATTATTTCAAAACACAATTTCAATTAACTTTTTATTGTTAAAGTTGTGTTTGAAAAATATAATTTATTATTGGATGCATTAAGTAAAGAAAAATGCCCCCTCCCTCATTTTATCCCCCCAATTGCGGTGGTAAATAATAACAGCAATGATAAGGACCTCTTTTGTGGAGGACCCCCACAACCCCCTTTGTGATCCACACCATTCATGATGTGGACCCCACACATACATGAGTGGACCCCACACATCATGAATGGTATAGATTAGTGAGGGGGTTGTAGGGGTCACAAAAATGCTAGAGGCCCTAAAAATTCTACCAAAAATTTTATCAAATATCTCACATGGGTGTGGGACCCATATGGATCTCACATTGTTAAAAACCCTTGGGGAGAAAGTATGATTGATTTTTTTTTTTAATCTATTTATATACGTTACCATCACTTTACAAATTTAAGAGGAGTTGTTTGTTAATGCCAAAAACCTATTTACATATAGTGTTTGAACTTTTGAATTTAGGAATAGTTTTGTAAATTAAGAGAAGAAAAAAATTCCAAAAAATTTACTTTATTTATTCTTTCAGGTACAGTACTTATCCAAATAAATGAACCCACGCAAAATGAAGTGATCTTTATAGCCAAAAGGAGGAAGTAACTAAACTACTTTTCTTACATTCAAATATCCTTCAAAGGAAATGTTACTATGTGGATTTATATATCGTAAGAAAAGTTACAATTTATTTGACAAATGTTATGAATTTTTTGTAATAAAAGTTTCGATTTTTGTGATAAAGTTATGACTTGCACCTAAAAATTATGTATAATTAAAATTATATTTTTTGAGATAAAAATTATATTTTTTGTAACCAAAATTTTATATATATATATATATATATTTATAATACGTTTTGTGATAAAAAATATGAAATGCATAGCACAAACACCCAAAAAATACGGATATTAGTCTTTCCCATTATGGAATCATATAACTGGCGCAATTTCTTTTATAGTGGATTAATATTTAGTGTTCTAAAACAATATTGTTTGTGAATAAAATAAATATAAATCAAATCAAATAAAAACATAATTCGTCGATTTTCTTAAAATGATGTCATTTTAAAATGGAAAAATTATGGTACATATCTCTCAAAGGGTATGTATTATATACATATTATAACTATAAAAAAAAATGATATAATTTCATATTTTGTGTGCCATAACTAAAATTAAAAAAAAAAAGAAAAAAAAGAAGAGTTTTAACCAAACTCAAAAAAGTTACAACCAAAAGGGCTCTTTGCCCAAAAGTCCAAATTTAGATTACCTTTGTTCAAAAGTCCAAGCTAAAAAATATAGGAAATTCTATTTTCAAACACATAATTATCTCAATGTACACACTTAATGAAATATTATTTTATTGGCAATTATACCCTAAATTAAAATGATCATAATGGACATCTACTAGCACCCATAACATTATATGAAAATATTCTATGTACATATCTTTTAGAAGCAAAAAAATCTCAATATACACATTTTGAGTAAAAAAATAAAAATAAATAAATCTTAATTTTTCTATTGTTGTCACTTTGCTTGCTACACACTCTATACTCTTTTATTGTTTGCAAATCAATATTCTTATAACAACTCTTATATTGTTTTAATCTCTAGATTTATACTCTATTAGTGATAAAAATATTAGTTTTTTTATGCATAATTTTTTTTTTCTCAGTCGGATAATCGTACTGAATTATTTCATTATATTCGGACATCAACTGCCGAAAGTTTTTATATATTTTTTTTTGGAACAAATTTGTCAAAATAAACACTTTTATTCAGAAGTTAAGTTTCAAATTAAATGTGTAATTTCGAAAAACTAGTGTCAAAATCTCCAAACTGAAAATATATATATATATATATATATATAAAGTGTAGAAATGAGAGTTGAGTAGTGTGTGTACAATGAGTATGCGTGAAGGGTATAACTGTAACTTTTAGTGTGTGGATTGAGAAAATTAATTAATAATCAAATTAATAAATGTGTGCATTGAGAGAATATATACATTGAGGTAATTAAGTGTGGAAATAGAATTTCTCCAAAAATATGTTGTCCATAAGGACATGCTAAGATAAAATAACCAAATTACCCCATTGTTTGAACAATTGTTAATGTTGGTGTTCTTTTGAGTCGTGGTGAGAAATGGAGGGTTTTAGAGAAGAAAGTACAGAGAAAAATGGCCACAATAGAGAAATCCTCTGCCAGTGCCTTCTCTTTCTTTCTTTATTTTTTTTTTTTTTTTTTTATTTTTAAATATTTTGAAATTTTGCCTTTGGGGCACCGCAAGAACCACTGCAGGGGAGCACGATAGAGGATTGAGACTCCAACAATAACTAACAAATAACAAATATAGAGGGTGTTTGGGATGTTGGTTATTTAGTAAATTATTTTAATTTTTGACTATTTTGGTAAGTTAAAATAGTTGTGTTTAGGAAGATGATTGAATTTTTTTTGTAATTAGATATGATATTTGTAAGAAAAAAAATAAAATAATTATAAATTTGATATAATATTTTATTTTATTAATTATTTTAATCTATTTTATTTTTCAGTTGTCAAAAAAAAAAAGGAAAAAAAAAATCTATTGTCAAGCACCCCATAATATAAATAAATAATTCAAACAACGTCCCTAATTTTCAACGTGCCCAAGACAAACAGTTTCCGTCACGTGTTCTTTGCGCGTCTTTTGCGCGTGTCTATCTCATTCACGTACGTCCTTACTCAGACCCTTGAGATTCCTATTTATAACTGTTACTTATTTATTTTATTTTTTTAACTGTCCGCATGTAGACACTTAAAAAGAGAAAAGTTCGACGCCATCAAATTTTTATTTTGAAAATAATTAAGAAAGATTTATGATTTTTGCATTATCTTGATTAGTGTGTAATATTTTATTCTAAGTATAATCTAAAAATTATAAATTTTTTATGATTATTTTTATAAATTTTTTTTCATAATACCTAATATTACTGCACTTAAAAAGACCCATTTCTCACTCACTTCTGTCAACTTTCTGTCATTACAAGTATGCATTATATATAGTAAAACCAAGGCACACTTTCTATATACTGTGATAAGAGTCTTTTTCAGCCTACCAAATCTTGGTTTTAAGTCTCATTTACATCTTTATATAATTTTGTGTTTTAAATATAAAAAGATAAATCACTTTATTTATTTTTGGACACTTTTAACCTTTGCTTTATATAACCTTTGCTTTATATATAGTAGAGATTTAGAAAACTAAGCACACTATGCAAATGAAATTGTCAATACATTAAGATTGTTGGAGAGAGAGGGAGAGAGAGTTTGTCTGTGTGTAGTGGGCAACAACAATATATTTGTGTGAAATTCTATCATCTAAGTGAGTTTTGTGTGTAATAGAATAGATAATGACTTTTGAAGATGAGTCATGTGCTTCTTCTTCTTCACCATCATCACCAACAAATGAGCCGCCTAGTATTCCTCAGAAGCGCAAGGCGGGAAGGAAGAAGTTCAAAGAGACACGCCACCCGATTTACAGAGGCGTTCGCAAAAGAAATGGCGATAAATGGGTGTGTGAAGTGCGTGAACCGAGCAAGAAGTCTAGGATATGGCTCGGGACCTTTCCTAGCCCGGAAATGGCTGCTACGGCTCACGACATCGCTGATTTGGCGCTCCGTGGCAAAAAAGCTAGACTCAACTTCCCCGACTCTGCGGAGGCCCTTCCTCGACCTAGGTCATCTTCCCCTAGGGATATACAACTGGCTGCTAGGGCCTTTTTGCCTCGAAAAGTCCTAGGAGCATATAAATCGTGCCACAAAAATGATGCAGAACACTCACAAGAAATGAGGGCTCCACTATTGTGTGACTCACAACCACACAATTATTCTGCGCCATTTTTGTGGCACGATTTCTGTGTTCCTTCCTTATCCTTATTGTCTTCTTCAAAATTTTCAAACGATACAAGCTTTATAAGCAGTGTGGTGAGACCTAGCTCGACTAGTTTTCAACATGTCAAATGTCAAGAAAATCTTCTTTTGGAACCACCTTTGGCTGATTCATCTAGTATTGAAATTGAGAGCCACGAAATGGTTGTAGAACCGTTCTCAAGTGATTTGACATGTTTTAAGGGCTCGGAAAAGGTTTTGGATCAATCCATGACGGTGTTCGTGGATGAAGAGGCAATGTTCAATATGCCAGGTTTACTTGATAGCATGGCGGAGGGTTTGCTACTAACACCACCGGCCATGAAAAGAGGATTCAATTGGGGAGATATGGCTAGTGACATGGACTTCACTTTATGGAGATACTGATGACTGAATTCAGATTATTTGAAGTTATGTTGTGTACTATTTTCTAAATTATGAGGTGGTTGAGGATGTTTTAAATAAGTATACTTCTTGATTTTTTATAAAAAAAAATGTGTAGGAAAGTAGAGAAAATAGGTAGAAAAATAGAGAGAAGATGTTGATAGATGTGATTCAAATAAGTTTATGTATGTAAAAAATGTACACTTTTTTAGTGTATGCCAAACACCTACTAAATTGTTGATTAGTTTACATAATTACGATATTATAATTCAGTGTAAGTGTAAATATTCATGTATCTTCTTTGTTTTAAACGGTATAGTGAGGGAAAAAACTCAATTGTTGCAATTAAAATGTGAGTTATTAAAGTAAATTTCATGGAGAAATTAGGTGGAAAGAGCAATTTAAAATGGTAATTACACCCCAATGGAAGTCAGGGAAAAAAATAAAAAAGATTAAAATTTTAATTATCAATGTTTATAAAAATTTTCACTAATTTGTAATTATTTTTTCATCCCACTAATATGATATTTCTCTTAATTTAAATTATACTGATTAATAAAAAATAACATTTTAATTGATTGTAGAACTCCTATAGTAGTTTGTTTTCCAATTTTGGTGGCAAAGGTTCGGGGTTCAAAACCCATGCGTGGTAGGATGGGGTGAGATGGGGAGATAATGGAAACAAAAATTGCCTGTACAAATTAATCGTAAAAGAGGCGAATGACTAGTGACTTGGATTTGATTAATGAGTAATATTAGACACTAGTAAAATATAATGGTCTCCAGTTTTGGAGTAATTTTGCCATGAAACTTATAAACGCCCTTTATGTGAGATGAAATATGACAGTTGTCTGTCTACCGTGAGACACATGCCTACAATAAACTCATGAATAATTGTTAATTAAAAAAATAATAACTCTGACAAACACACTATCAAGATTGAGAATAGAACTATCACTTATTTATTTATTTATTTTTTTTCCACGTAGTACTATATATTAATGTTATGTTTTGATTCGTGAATTTGTATAGAGATTTAGAATATATATATATATATATATATTTATTGTCGGTGATAATCACAAATAAAATATTAAAAAATATAAATAATAAAAATTACAATAATTATTGAAATAACTAAAGTGTGAAAAATTTGCTCTCTTTAAGGTGATTTAAGTCTTCTGCGGTTAGGCAAAGCCTTGCATCGATGCAACAGAAAAAATCATGACTTGTCCCCCTAAGATATAACAGTCCGACTAAATCGTATGATTCACCAATACTGCACAATTGATTGAACTCAAAGCTTCATCACATTCACCCTTTATTTCTTTGCCTGATAATTTCACACAAAAATAATAAAATAACAAACATTTCTTCTTTTTTTTCAAGATAAGAGGTTGGCCCAATTTCTAGGAGAGGAAACTTGGGGCAAAAGAAAAGGAAAAATAATAAAATAAAAGTTACTTGGTGGGCAAGAAAAAAGGGTTTACTTGGAGGAAAAAAAACTTTTCTTAGAGGTAAAGAAAGGTAGCTTGAAGAACAAATTATTTGGAGCTCAAGCAAACAATATAATCTATAACACATTAAACTATTAAAATATCTGCTAACATTCCCTTACCTATTTTAATATTATAGGTAACAAAATCTAAGATTATTAGGCAAATAAGGATATTATGCACTTGCATTGAACATTTGTTAGTGAAACAGTAATATCCACTCCAGAGCCAATGGTATGCTCAACATTAAACTATGACTACTTAAAAGAAATAAATAATTATTGCACACGCATAATATTTCAAGTGTTCGTATAAGCTTTAATAGCCAGCACATTACGGCCTTGTGCGATCCTAGGATTCATTAGTGTGTTTGAGAATTAGCCCAAATCTCATAGGTAACGGCCCCACTACCACACTCACATAAGTGAATTCTATCAAAGGTGCTCTTATAACTATGACACCCCACTCAATAAGAGCTACAAAAATTCATTAAGAGTTTTTTTAATAACTCAACCTCTACAACGTTACAGGATAAATGAACTTACATCATAAACATGGGTAAAAATTAATTTAGTGTATTTCTCATAGCCATTATATGATTGTTCTTCGCATTGAACCTAGTAACAGGATCTCTAGTCCCTGGGTTTAGTATCTGCATACATAGCTCCTACTATATTCAATGGGCTTCAACCCCATTCCCCTCGATGTATTTCAGACTCTATCTCTTGCTAAGGCCTTAGTTAATGGATCTGCAAGATTATCACTAGATTTAATATAATCCACATTTATGATGTCATTATTCATATAAAATCTCACAATACTGTGTTTTCTTCTAACAAGTTTGGATTTACCGTTATTATAGCGGTTTTTAACTCGACCAATTACTACGGTGCTATCACAATGAATCAATATAGGCGGAATCGTTTTTTCCAACAAGAGATTTCATTTAACAAATCTCTCAACCAATTTGCTTCTTCACTAGCTGTAGCTAAAGTAATAAGCTCAGCCAAAGTAATAAGCTCAGCCTTCATTGTTGAATTAGCAATAATGGTTTGTTTTTTCGATTTCCAACTTATAGCACCACCTCCCAATGTAAATAAGTAATCAGTGGTTGATAATGAATCACCTGACAAAGTATTCTAACTAGCATCACTGTAACCTTCAAGTATTGCAGGATACTTATTATAAAACAAGTCATATGGTACCAGATAAATATTTCATAATCTGCTCAATGGCTAGCCAGTGATCATCGCCAGGCTTGCTAGTAAACCTGCTAAGTACTCCAACTGCATAGGCAATGTCAGGTCTAGTACAGTCAGTCGCATAGCGCAAGTTGCCAATCATACTAGCATATTCGTTTTGATTAATTACATCCTCCTCATTTTTAACAGGAAATAAACGCACATGAGGATCAAAAGGAGTAAGAATATGCTTGCACTTATAAAAATTATATTTTCTCAAAATTTTCTCAACATAATGTGACTGATCAAGAAATATACCATCAAAGGTTTTGGTAATTTTCATTCCCAAAATATAATTAGTCTCACCAAGATCTTTCATATCAAAATGGCTACTAAGCATATTTTTAGTTTTCACGATGATATGCAAATTAGAGCCAAATATAAGTAAATCATCCACATAGAGATTAATAATGACATGTGAATTTTTTTCAGATTTATAGTAGATGCATTTATCACATTCATTAATTTTATAGCCATTTTCAATCATGCAGGAATCAAATTTCTCATGCCACTATTTAGGGGACTATTTTAAGCCATGTAGGGATATAACTAGCTTGCACACTTTGCTTTCTTGATCGGGTTTCAGAAAACCGTCAGGTCGATCTATATAAATTTCTTCATCCAGGTTTCCATTTAAAAAAGCTATTTTAACATCCATTTGATGAATTTTTAGATCATGAATTGCAGCCACTGCAATTAATAATTTAATGGATGCAACTCTAGTAACCGGAGAAAATGTATCAAAATAGTCAAGATCTACTTGTTGTTTAAAACATTTTGCAACAAGCCTTACTTTATATTTATCAATAGTTCTATCCGGTTTAAGTTTTTTCCTCAAAACCCATTTACAGCCAATAGTTTTACAACCTGGTGGTAAATCTACTAATACCCAAGTTTTATTCTCGTTCCAAAAAACAAAGTCAGGAGATGCCAAAACTTCTTGTAAAGTTAATAGAGTTTCCTCCACATTAAAAACATGATAATCATGGCCAAAATCTTTTTCTAATTTGGCTTTTTTACTCCTTCTAGGTTCAAAAACTACAGTGTCTTGGTTTTGTATAAGAGAAGTAGAGGAACCGATTTCAGATAAAATATTTTCTTGATAATTTTGACCCCCACCATTTTTGGATTTAAAAAGAATTTTTTCTTCGTAAAAATGGCATCACCTGATTCAAAAATTATTTTGTTTTTAATATCAAAAAGTCTATAGGCTTTACTATGTGTTGCATATCCAAGAAAAGCACAAGTGGTAGCTTTCACACCTAATTTAGGTCTTTTAAGGTCCACAAGTTTAACAAAAGCTAGACAACCCCAAAATATCCCAAATTTGGCTTATGCCCTTTCTACAACTCAAAAGTTGTAACTTTTATTTTTTTATGTGGTACTCTATTTATAACATAACATGCAGTTAAAATTTTTTTTTCTCACAAATTTGAAGGAGCACCTGCTTCAATTAGCATAGCATTTTTTAAAACAGTTAAAGTTTTATTTTTCCTTTCTGCTACACTATTAGATGCAGGTGAATATGGTAGAGTAGTTTCATGGATTATTCAGAAAGACTAAGCAAATGAGTTGAATCCAAAAGATTCATACTTCCGGCCTCTATCACTTCTATATCTTTTAATTTTTTTACTGAATTGATGTTCAACTTCAAGAAGGAATTCTTTAAATTTTTTAAAAGCATCATTTTTATTTTTCAACAAGTATACATAAGTATATTTTGAAAAATCATCAATAAAAATGATAAAATATCTATTTTCACCATGTGTTAAAATTCCTTCAAATTCACATAAATCAGTGTGAATTAATTCTAGCAATTTAATATTTCTCACCATACTTTTATGAGGCCTTTTAATTATTTTTGTTTGACTGCAAACTTTACATTTCTCAAAATTATTTGTTAATCTGAGAATTAATCTTAAACTACTCATGACTCCCACATATCGGCTATTAATATGACACATGCGAGCATGTCAAAAATTCATAGAAGACAGTATGTAAACAGAAACATGTACTTTTCTTATTCTCAACATTTAATTTAAACATTCCATCACATGCATATCCTTTTCCCACAAATATACCTTTTTTAGTGATTACATATTGGTCAGATTTAATAGTCTGCTTGAAACCAATTTTGTTGAGCAAATAACTCGACATCAAATTTTTCCTTATGGACGGTGTGTATAACACATCTTTTAAAATAAGTACACGTCTAGAGGTAAATTTCAGCTCAACATCCCCACATCCGAGCACCTTGGTTAAATTAGAGTCACCAAGCATAACAATCTTCTCCTCATTAAAATGAGTAAAATCTTTGAACTAATCTTTATCATAGCAGACATGTCTATTGGCACCAGAATCTGTCCACCACCCTTCCACAGATTGAACCATAAAATTATTTGTAATCATAGCCACAAATGGTTCTTCAGTAACATTAGCATATGGTTGAGACTGTTGCTGCCAAAATTTGTAAGTTCGAGCAATATGCCCACTCTTGCCACACACAAAACATGTCACATTTGTCAAAT